ACTCTATATTTGACTGCACCCCATAACCACATCGAAGATTTCGATGTTGAAAATACACTTAACAGAGACTCGGAATAATATGTTTCGCTGATCTTTAATCCTTGCTTTTTGTAATGATGTATTCATTTCAGATAAATTTTACAAAAGAAATAACGATCACCTTTCTTTTTTTTTCGTCTGCGCCGTGTACGAAAGCAACTGATGGATCGAAATGAATTGTTTCTTCTAAGATGATTGCTTTTAAAGCAAGTGCAACATAATGAAAAAACGAAGGAATGGCATATGTAATGCTTCGTTTCTTTCGTTTTTATTCTTTTTCTTTTTCTCTGTACGGGAGTCTGTCTCAAGCCTTGTTGTCTCTTGTCACGTCTCTTATTATTATGGTCTTTCTTTTCTGTTTTCTTCACAGAAAAATACACCGAAATTAAAATACCCGTAAATTGCAGGGACTTACAACAAGGTACTCGTAACCATCAATATACCCAGCTACCGTTGTGTGATAGGAACTTGATCAAATACCCTCCTGCTAATAATCTAGGTGTCCGACACTGAAGAAATGCCTTTATGGGTACCTATCCGATTCTAATTATTAAACAACCAGAAGCAGTCTAGAATTGGTATCACAAAAAAGTCTTGGGTGTGGGTGTGGATGTGACTATAGATGGAGTAAATAACCACACCCATACCCACACCCACGCCCACCCACACCCCACACCCACACCCTCACACCCACACACCCACACCCAAAAAGAAAAATATATTACGTGCATTCGACCTACCTTTGCTCTTTCATTGTCTTCGTCAAAGAATAGCAGAAAAGTCTATCCAACACTGCTCTATATTATTGTTAAAAATAAGGATGAGGTTGAGGATAGAATGAGGGTGTGGGTGTGTTTTATGAAGTGAATTATACATCAGAAAACTAGTCAACCAATTGTCAAGTAAAGAATGAGAGAAATTTTTCTTTTTAATTTATTTAAAGAAGAAAAAAAAAGTTAGAAATTCATTGAGGAATATAAAAACTCTTATTAATTGATTTAATTCTCTCGTTCTTTTTTTTTATTTTTCTCAAAGATTTGTAAATCTTTCGAAATCTGATATAAATACCGTTTGTTGTTGACGGTTGTCGATTATATTGATAGTATGATTGATTGTCTTGTCTTTCATTGAATAAATTGTAATCATCTTCAATAAATTCATTATTTATAATAATAGTTCGATCATGTTTTATTGTTGAAAATAATTGTTAAAAATAATGAAAAGATATTTGTTGAATTGTTGAAAAAAGTAAAGATGGAAAAAAGAATTCTAATAAATAAATAATATGCAGAATAGCTTGATCTTCATATGATATAAGAGAATATATTGTTATTATATATAAATGAGCATCGATTAACATTTCATTAATAATATTTTGTTTTAAATGTTTTATTATATTATCAAAATATTTATGACCAACAAATGGCTATATTAATTTAATAACTAAATCATTTAATGTTGATATTGGATATAAACGATAACGTTCTTCTTTTCGAATAATTATTAAAAAAATAATAATTTAATGTTATTATTATTGAATAAATTAAATAAGCAAATCCGTGACAAAGTGCTAATTGAACATTTCTTAGAATAAGAATTGTTGAAACTGAAAAGCCTAAAATAAAAAAATAGTTAAATTTTTAACATACAAATAAATATATTTCGGTAATATACATATAAGCATGATTAATAATCGATTATGTCCTAATAGAAATATATTATGTTAACAATAACTAAATCATTATTTTATCTTATAAAATTTTTAGAATGCTCTTTTCAATTTAACTAATTTTATCGTTATGAAAATGTTTTCAATTTAATAACTATGATTTCGATCAATCACTATAATGAATCTGATAGAGTTCACTTTCAAGAAACAAAAATATTTCATGACTGTATTGATTTGTTATTTAATTTATTAATTTTTCTTTCTATAGAAGTACAAACAATCATTTATTCATTATGATTTTAAATTGAATATTAAAAATATTCTTATTGTTTATTGGTTAAAGTCAAATATTGAATAGATTATATTATCGAAATCGAATAAATTAAGTTAATTTATCTATTCTATTATAAACTAGATATTATTTATATAATCGAAAAGAAAAAAACTGATATATAACTGTATCTATTATTGAAGCAATTTCTTCAATATACATATGAATATAATCATATTTTGTTATTGTAGATAATAAATAAAATGGTTCTGATAAAAGTTCAATTAATGCTGATAAAAAATAAATAAAATAAGTTTTATTATAATATTGATATATTGAATGTATATTATTTCTATTTGGTATATATTGCAACGAAGAGACTCTCTTGAAATAAATAATATTATGAGTGTGGGTGTCAGTGAGTGTTAATCTGCTGTTAGACAAACCCACATCCAGCTCACATCCACACACCCACTCCCACACCTTCTAAGAATAGCAATCATCCACACTCACACCCTTTATTCGAGTAAATCAAAGAATTTCATAATTGTTCATGAATGTTTTCGAATGTTTCTTGATAATTCCGTATGTACTGATGAGTTGAAGGTAATTTCTGTTGTGCAATTTCAATTGCTTGTTGAATATATTTCATTGCGGTCGAATAATCTCGTATTGACAAGTATAAGTTTGCCAAATTATGATACACAATAGCTAAATCTGGATGGCTTTGTGGCAGTTTCTCTTTATGTATTTGTAATCCTTTCTGAAAATAATTTAATGCTGTTGAATAATCCTTCATTCCGTAATAAGTTTCACCTAGTTGTACAAATGTTGTTGCACATTCTAGTGGATTACATTGGACATTTTTTTGAATATCCAAGGCTTTACGATAAAATCCTAGTGCTGTTTCATAATTACCCATCAAGCCATGAATATGACCAATATCACTGTATGTTACAGCAAGGGATGGATGTTTTTCTGATAAATATTTCTGTCTTACTATGAGACATTTTTCGAAGTTCTCAAGTGCTTTGGAATATTCGTTCATACTGCGATAAACTCTTCCGAACCAGATGTATGCGAATGCAATATTTGGATTACCTTCAGACAAAGCGTTTCCCCAAATTTGAGAAGCTTTTTGAATATATTCAAGTGCTGCTTTGTAATCACCCATATTGTAATACACTGTACACATGTTATTGTAACAAATAGCCAAATTCGGATGATTTTCATTTAGAGATTTTTCAAAAATTTCCTTTGCTTTTTGATAATATCCAAGCGCTTTCGAGTAATCACCCATGCTGTTGTACATTTGACCCATGTTATTGTAAGAAGTAGCCAAATCAGGATGATTCTGAAGCAGAACTTGTTCATATATTACATGTGATTTTTGGTAATATTCAAGTGCTTTAGAGTAATTACCCATGTTCTTATGCAGTAACCCAATGTTATTGCAACAAATAGCCAATGAAGAATCATGAGTAGAGTCATCTCTTTTTGTTACTGCTACATATTTTTCTAGATACTCAAGTGCTTTAGAGTAATTACCCATGTTCATATAGACCAAGCCAATATTATTGTAAGTAGCGCCCAATGAAGGATGGTTTTCAGGAAGAATTTTTCGTTCGATTTCTAGACATCTTTCATAAAATAAAATTGCCTCTTCACGTTTACCTTGCTCATCTTTGATTAGTCCAATTTGGCTATAGTAAGTTGCTCGATTTCTCTCGTCAGATATTTGTTCTAGTAATGCGGTATATAATTCTTCAGCCTTGCCAAACTGACCTATTTTAAAAAGCAATACGCCCAATCTTGCCCACCCGACTCCACCTCCAGTTTCCTTTCGTATACGATCAGTTAGCTGACGAAGTTGTTCATCATCGTCTGACGTAAGTCTTAATTGAACTTGATAAAGTTCACTGTCATCGTCAGACTTTTGAACGTCTTCGATGCGAAAGACTGCATGCATGGAAAAGAGTATTTCTGCTTCTGTTTTAAAATAACTCATTTCGTCGATAGAAGCGAATGGAGTTGAAGAAACCTTTGGATCTATTATCATTTCAAAAAGGATACGCAACATACTCTGTTTTTTTTCTGCTGATTTGGCGAAATCCAGCGAAATGTTTCGGGTCATACTGGTGGATAAGAAACTATTGAAAGAAATCAGACCATTAATGTTGTTTGTGAGCTTTTTGAAGTGTTCGGTAGATAGTTCTTGTCCTCGATAAACTGAAAATGGCTTTCCATTATAGCAGCTGATCTGTTTTTGATGTAATTCTTGGAGTTGTCGATGGACATCACACAGAAAGAAGCCCATACGAATGATAATATCACCAGTGAGAGTTCTCAAAGCACGATTGAGCATTTTGTAGGTGAAGCACTCTCGTGTATACCACCATATGGCATCTTTTTCTTTATATTTTTGTTCGAATTCTTTGATAGTTTTGATTTCTTCTGCGTTCTCTTGGTATTCTTCTAAGCAAAACGAGACTAAATCTTTAATGGCTTCTTGTCCATGTTTCATATCAAAGAGAATTTCCTTGAATATTTGTGAGTACATAAATGAGGGTTCTAGCTGATTGAGGTTTTGAGTAGAATGCCCTTCATTCGAGCCGATAATACTGATAGGCACGCTATTTTGATTGTATTGTTTTATGGCCACTTGCAGAGCCTCACAGACGGGTTTGATCGCCGTATGGACACCTTTAATTTTCGCCCAATTATTAGCCCAAGCCTTATGTCGTTTTTTGTCGCCGCAAAAGATATAAATGGCATTCAATTTAGTCACGTCGTGAATATCTGGTATTAAATACTGTCCAACTGATCCGGATGAGATAACAAAGGCGATTTCGTGTTTACTTTTTTCCAGGTTTTGCAGACATTCCTGTGCTGTTGTGCAACAATCGACATCATTGATAATATTGCGCAATTGGGCCAGTATATTTTGACAGTCTGAGTTCTTTAGATCAATATTCTCGTCAACCCACACGACCATGTAACTTTCACCTGCTCGCCGTCTTGTTTGTCGACTCATATTGAATAA